ACACCCATTTTCTTTAAATACAGCCAAGAGAAGGAGAGGCTGTGAGAACTTGTCTGTCAGCCTTCAGGTCGGGGGGGGGTCCAATTAGGAGCAAAAATACTACTTATTGCCACACTTGGTGATCATGCAGTCTTTTTTTTTTTTCTTTCCAATAGGAGTTGGTGCAGCTGTAATTGATAACTACCTTTATGTAGTTGGAGGTCATTCAGGGTCATCCTATCTGAACACTGTACAGAAATACGATCCCATCTCGGATACCTGGCTGGACTCTGCTGGGATGATGTACTGTCGATGCAATTTTGGTTTGACTGCACTTTGATGAGAAGCAGGACTTTACGGACCTGATGCAAAGATGGAGCTTAATCTGCTTGAAAATAAACCCTGCTGGTGGAGACCATACGCTGCGTTTTCTGAAGATGGGGGAATGTGGTGAAGTTGGGATTGAAATGAGGAAGGATTTGTTTTCTTCAGGTTATTGGCCTTTGTTACTTCAGAAGGAATGGAAAGCTTATTACCAGGTGGGTTTAGATAGCGTCCTGTTGATGGCAGTGAATTCTAGAGAGTACTGTACATGCCTGGGATATGATTAGAAAACTTACTGTATATCTAACCCTTTGACTTTCTAGAGCTTTTCTCTCTTCCTCCTGCCTACTATGAAATATGAAGTTTACTGTGCTTGGGGTGAGAGATGTGTGAATGTGTTGTATGACTGGACAGTTTGCTGATAGTTGTCTGGTTGTGTCTTCATATTAAGAAAGCGCCAGTGCTTCGTAATTTTTTTTTATGAACAGTAACTAAAGGGCTGCCTTGTTTCTGTATCTCAAGGTTTGTAAATAATAAATGCCATAGTATGTTGCCTGCACACTCTCCTTTGTTACCCGCTTACCGGTAGGAGGGCTGGGATGGTAATTAGTAACTACTTCAAGAAATTTACAAGGCAAATTTGTTGCCTCTTAATGTAGTTTTTGGATCTGCTGAAGAGAAATCACATTTTTAACTTTCCCTTATTGTTGTTTGGGGTTTTTTTTGTGGATAAATGAGTGCTAGATTAAATGACTTAATCTTGCTAGTCTGCTGTGTGTTTTCAATTATAATACAAGGAAAAATTACAACAGTCATGCATCGGAAGATGCCACAGCATCATTCATAGCGTGATACAAAATAAATACTCAAAAATGAGTCCATCCCATCCTTCTCCCAAGCGCACTTGTGTCCATATTCCGTATAACTTCCTTTTTTAAAAGAATGTATGATTGCTTTCTCAGAGTGTTCAGTTACAAACATGGTGCTAAATGTAGGACTTAACGATAAGGCTGTTACTGATTTTAGTGCAGTATGCATAAAGCATGATTGTTTTGATTGTTCTGGTGTTTTTGTTTCTTATTTGCTTGATACATGCGTGCCTATGAAGACTGTCAAGAGTAACACAGTGTACTGAATGAGCTCTACGTTTGTTACGTTTTGGGTTTTTTTTTCCAGAAGATACACATTTTTTGTTCCTATTCTCACAAATACACAAGTAGGGAGTGACTAGCGAGATCCCATCTCGGGTTCTTTAGACAGTCTTGCCTTTAACAATGAATGAAGGGCGCGGGGCATAGTTGCTCATCCCCAGTGCGTGTCCTGTGTAACGGAGTACTGAAGGTCGGTTCCTGTGATTAACCAGAACCTCAAGAAAGAAAACTTTGTGATAGTCCTAAACTTAGTGAAAATTTGGGCAGATAAATAGAAAGCGATGCTGTGGGCTATAAACATTATTTAAAATAGATGACTGAATAAATATGAATTTTAGCTAATTTAGAATGTTTTGGTTTGTCTTCTGATTGTAACTAGGAATCATGGTTATCTTGAATTTCTGGTTTGATGTCTGTATGTGTATTGCCAGGCCTGGTACTGAAGAATTTTTCTGCCTCCAGAGTTATTTTCCCCTTGTTTTAACATGTTAAATTAATGTTTGTTTCCCCTTGTTTTTCAAGCCCATCTAGTATTATTTTTGAAGGTGCAATAATACTTGAAAGAGTTGCTTTAAAAGCCATTTCTTTATAAGTATGCTAAGTGGAGGGTTCTGAGCGTACTTGATTTATTCTGAGTTCCTGCAAAGCTAATGGCAGCCAGGCAGGCAGCGGGGTTCCTTGTTCTTCCATACGCTGACGTTCAGATTTTAAACAGTCAAGAAGGCGAGGGCGTTTTCACCATAAAACATTATTCGTAGATAACGTGTGTTTGCACAGATTACAAAATCCTGCATGTATTCTTCAAATTTGGTAGAATTAAGCAGGACTTTAAAAGCAAATAAACTGCATTGAAAACACTGAAATTGTTAATTATATTTGACCCACTAAGGATTCTAGTTATATAGCAATAATAGCCTAATTTAATTGTTCCAGTGAATCTGTTGATAGGACACAAGTAGCTACATGGTTTTATGTTGCGTGTTTGTGTGTGGGGAGGAGAAGGAAGGGGAGCAGGTTTGGGGATTAAGGGAGATGTTTCAGCCTGTTGCGTCGATTGCCTTCTCATTCTGTTCAGGTAAATGCACACAATGAATGTTTCCATGTGCTGTTTTACTTTTCAGTCTGTTTCACAGAGATGCCATCAATGATCATATTTTCCAACATACACTGGAGATAAAGATGCTTAACGAACTAATATTAAAATAAGAAAAATTTCTTACCTAAAAGAGAAGTTTATGCCTTTTATTGATAGGAGGCTTTCCACGCAGTTCGGTATACACCGTACCTTTTAGAGTTTAACTACAGTAGGATTCCATGAATGAAGACGCTCATATACATGTTCTGATTGGAAGTATTAGTAAACACTGTTTTCAGTTAGGAGAAAGTGGTGCAAGGTATAGGAATCGTTTTGACTTCATCAGAACAAAAAAATCTGTCGGTCAGGGTGGTGGTGATGGTTATTCAATGTTTGAATAAACACCTTTCATTTATGGAAGTCAAAGCACTTAAAATTGCGAAGTGTTTTATTCTCTTTACCTAGGCAGTGGCAATGTTCAATGAGGTCACAGAGATTGACCCCGTACTGTGTCATGTGGTGGTACTGCTAAATTTGAGGTAGCAGCATAAACAATTTTGTAGTACGCAGGCTTGGTATGAAGAATGGGACGAATGCCTAACGAAATAGACTGCTGTTACTAAATGAACTGTTTAGCTGGAAGTGGATCGAACGGTGCGTCAACCGAGGGATCGTGTCACTTAAAATCACGCCATCTTCATTTTCTGTTCCGGGTGCTTGTTGTCCTGTTCACTGAAGTGCTTAGTTATAGGAAGATCAGACACAACAATCGGTTTAAATCTGCATTTAAAGAACAATACTCTCATTGTAACGTCTGTCTTGCAGTTTCAAAATTAAGGACCTTCAAATAAGATGTCATACAACTATAAATTATCATCCAGTTCTAAATCACTCAAAATTATCTGTAAAGCACTTTAAAATAGGTATGAGTTTATGTGTATGTGTACTGTACAATATGTGTACATACAGTTCCTGAATTTCTGGCTTTTCTTTTTTTTTTTTTTAAGATACTCATCTGTAAGCTTCTTAACAGTCTCTCCTACTAGGAATGCTTTTCCTTCAGAAAGTCTAGCTGGAATTTCTAGAGGGTCAAATGTGTCCAGTGCGCATTACAAACAGTTAACTTTTCTGGGAGATAGCGTGTTACTTTTGTGAATTTGCCATCTGTAAGTCCCCATTCACTATATGAAACAATGCAAAATGTCCAAACTTGCCTTAAATTCTTGATGTTTAACTGCAACGCAAAGAACTGGATGATAATTCCTATTTTTTTGCCTTACGCGCTGTGCTGTATTTTAAACCCAAGGATAACTATAATTTTTAGCAGGATTTAATAATTGTACAGAGAATACCAAATTGTACTCGGACTTGACCAGAGTGCTTTGGTTGGGAGTATAAAATGATATATGTAGTTTTGTGTACGTAGAGTGTTTTTATGTGTACATCTTTTTTAGCAGCAATGTTCTGGGTTTGTTATTGTTTACACAAGTGGCATTTGAGTTCAACAGGAAAATGACTGTAACCCGCATTCTCGGTCTTTACTAGTGTTCTCAACGTGTTTGCTCTTGTGATAATGCTCTGTAAGTATTGTTGTAACTGTTTCATTGAATGTGAAACAATTTAGTAAATAAACCTGAGGAAAAAAACCCTTATTTTTGCATTTTCGTTGGGTGTGAATATAAATACGCCGTAGCTTTAGTCTTCCTTTCTAAGGCAGGGACATCTTTGTGAGTTGTTGTTCAAAAGCGGCGGGGGGGCAACCCTGCAAGGTAACAGCCAGGGCTGAGGGGAGGTGGAGCAGGGGGGTGCCTGCCCTTCTTGGGGAGGGCTGAGCTGGCTGGAAGACCCTGACCCCAATAACCACGTTACAGGGTCTTTGCCTCGTTGGCATTAGAAGCTCCTGTGGAAGAGGATTTTAGTACATGGCTTGCTATTTTCCATCTGTCCCTGTAGCCGTAGCTGTTGTCTCCCTGATGAATCAGTACCCGTCGAAGGAACACAAACCCGCTTGTTCCCGCTTTCCTTGGCAGAAGAGCGGGCTCTAGAAAGCTCCCGTACAAACTGTTCTCTCCTGGTGAAGACCCAGCATCACTGAGTGACTCCGCGGAAGCGTGATCTGTTCGGGGCCAAAGGGGTTTGCAGCTAAATAATTTTAGTTTACTGTTAGACAGCTCCTCACAACCGTGTTTCAGGTGGTGGTTTCATGTCGGGTGATGGTTTACATGAAGTAACAGCAGGCACCCCTCTCTCTCCATTAGTGAAATGGAAATTTAAGACTTGGCGATTGTGCGATTTTTTTTTTTGCTGGCGCTAAATACAGGCAGAAATGGTTAAATTTTTTTACATAGTTTAGAGCAGGGATTAGCGTGCTGGACTCGCTTTCTTGCCCAAGGCCTGAATTCAACTTCTGGTCGCTGCTGTAGGAGATGCCATTCACCACCGGTACTCAACAATACTGTCCATAAAATGTGTAATCATGTAATCTGTGAACTCCAGCTAGAAAACACTGCCTGTTACAGTCTTAGTCATGCTGAAGCTGGCACAAAAGGAAAATACTCAAGTGATTTTTTTTTTTTTTTTTTGGGGGGGGGCGTGTTAAAAAAAAAAGATTTACTACCCTAATAAAAGACTTTCAATTAATGCCCATCAAGGGCTCTAGTTTTAGCAAAAAAAAAAAGATTTACTATGTTAATAAAAGACTTTCAGTTAATGCCCATCAAGGGCTCTAGTTTTAGCTTTCCCTAACTTTAAAGGTTGCTGTTACACATTGATGTAGCAGGTACTTCAAACCACATTTTACAGATAGACAGGGCAGGAGAGGATCTTTTCCAGTTTATTTTAGCATAAAGTTACCCATTTTTAAAAAAAAGATTGTGTCAGAAAAATACAAACGCCTTGTGTAGCATTTGACCTAAACCAGCACTAGGCAGTACAATACACAACTACTGTAGTCCTCCTCTTTCTTCGGGTCCTGAGTATGCTTAATACACAGACCTTAATTTTAGGAATGGCCACGAACACAGTGGTAAAAGGAACATAACTTAGGGGGTTTTAGCTGTCTAATATTAACTAGAGATGGCAAAAAAATGTAAAAATCTGGTGCTTGATTTTCAAAAAATTGACATTTCTAAGCCCACCATAGGTGCATCCAGTAAACGTCGATTTGGGAACCTGCAGTACAGTACTTTTCTTTCTCATGGCACCTCCCAATAAATATCTGAAAATAAAAAGTCGTATGGATAGCACAAACATCCAATGCAGGCATCTCCTGATGGAAAAAGCGTCTGGCAGGCAACTGCCCTCACACAGACAGGTCTTCCCTGAACCCAGCTCTCACGGAGACCTGTCTTCTTCCCGGAGGTGACCAACTCACAAGGCAAGCGCAAGGCAAGAAGTTCCCGTGCTATCCGAAGGAAAGCTTTGGGTTCCACCAGCCAGTTCAACGCTGCTTTATGACTGCTCTGCTCCAAGGAAAAAGGCAGGTGTCTGGCACTCAGATCTAGCAGAACTAGTTTCCTATTTCTCAGTCTTTAAAGGTTTAATAGAACTGTTATATTCCTTGGAAAACATCACTTTGATCATCTGCGTTCCCTCTTTGGCCATCTAGTCAGCTGTACTGTGCGCGTTGCTCTAGATGGATCAGGCAGCCCGGCGTTTCATGCTCCTCGGCACCTGGCACCAGGATTTAACTGAACAGCCAGGGTTAACAGAAGAGAAGTGATAACTGGGAGATACGACAAACGAAGCAAACTGGATTAGCATTACATGAAACTTCTCAAACGGTAATTTTCTTTGCTGCTAAAGCTCCAGCCTAGAAAAAAACCAAAACTGTTTATTACCAGCCACAGCGCGCTCACACTTCTACCAGTCCTTTAAAAGTTTCAGATGAACTGAGGGGGTCCAGGTGACTGTACTGAATTCACCGTGCATTTATCTTCTGCTACGTAGTACTAGTATGTGGTCTCGTCCTTGGGTAAGGTCATTCCCGTAGTTACAGACCAAAAGAAACCAACAAACCAAAAAATCCTCATGTTTCTGTACTCCATTCCCAGACCCCGTCCCGCTCCTCCTTCACTTTCCCTCTGCAAGGAGGGCAGACGTGGGTACCGGCCACCCACCTGTGCAAGTCAGGTCTCCAAAAGAAGCTGCTGTGAGCAGGTGGGCAGACACCCAGCTCCAGCGGTTGACTGGCGTGTTTGAGATAGGACACGGGCACAGAAGATTTCAGCTGTTGTGGTTTTCCCAAGCCAGAATAAGGGCTACTAGGTAAAACAAAAAAACCCAGCACATTTCAGCCTGTACCCAACAACGCCTACCGGGCACTTACCCAGCCCTGTCGCCTGGGGACGACTGCCGGCTGAGTCCTGACTCCACGAGGAATTTCTCGGGGAAGATGGAAATAATCGTAAACACTTGACCTGCTTATTAAACTGTAATAATCTGCAAGCGCAGAACAATAATGACCATTGTTTCTAAAAGTCATACACATAAAAAAAAAGATCACCCATTTTGTGAAATTTCATATTTTTTAAAATAAAGGAGATGTGTTTAAAAAGTATTTATTTCTTGCCCATAACCTACCTGCTTTGAAATTGAGGAAAAAAATTGTTAACCTTGTAAGTTACAAGTCAAATTTTCTTGACTGATTGAATTTAATATTTTCATGCATTATTCAACAAACAACTAAGAATATACATCTCAAAATATTGCTGTAAATTGAAAATTTAGGAGTTTGTTTCTAATTGTACCTGAAGTAAACCAAAACAAAAGCAAAGAGCTTCAGCATAGACTGAAAACTCTTTAAATAGAACAAATTATCTGAAAATCATTTAGGTCATTTAGGAGGCCTCTGAAGGTGACCGGCTCCAGCCCTGCCACCCCACACACTCAAAGGAGGAGCAGACTGAGGTGATACCGGCTTGCTCAGGTCCGTGTCAGGTGTGGAGACGGGTCTCCAGAGAAGGTACAAACCTAAGAGCAGGCTGGATGAGCCCACCGGCAGTGCCAGGGGTACAGCCAATCCCTCCCAGAGAACAGGCACGGCCGGGATGAGCGCCCAGCCTCCTCTCGCACCCGTTTCTTGCCGTTGATGATTCCCTGAGCACGACCACCCCAGAGCCCTCCCCTGGTCAAACCTCCACCACACGGATGTGACCCGCACAATTGCCTCCTGCCCACTTTTAAAGCCCGAGCCTTCCTGCACAGAGGTGCAAAAGGCTTTTCTCGACGCAGTATGACTGGCTGCATTTCCACGCTTTTCCTCCCAGACGGGGAAGGATGTCGTGTGGGTCGGAACCGTCTGATGGCCGGTCCCGGAGCCCCGTGTGCTGCAGCCCTTCCCAGGGGCTGCTCCCACCTCTGTCCCTGCCACGCTGCTGTGGCTGCTGGCCCCTTCTCCCCCAGCTTCTTGAAGGCCGTTTATGTTCAAATCTCTTTTTTTACCCAGAAATTGCTTTAATTTACTATTAATGCACCTTCACAAGCTCCAGCACATACGGGACCAGAGTACTCCAATTTTAGGACTTGGCATAAAAACGATTATTGCACTGTAAAATGAGACATATCCAGTCGTTTAAAGTGTCTTTCCGTTGTCTTGAACTTTGTCAAAATTAAAAATTGCAACGATGAAGTCTTAATGACTCTGCAAAGTAATTTTTAATAGCTAGAGAACTTGCCAGCTGCACAAACTGCAAGCCCCATGCCTGAAAATTCCCAGCATTTCTGTAATTCTGAAATGCCTTTGGCAAGTGAGAAAAAGATTTGGAAACTGTATTACACAGTCCTTAGATTGCGCATGAGCTGGAAGCACACGTTCATCTTCCATGGAC